TATATATATATATATAAATAAAATGAAGTGGTATTCTATAATAAAGCTTGAGGTCACTTCAGTTTCTCCCCCTTCCCATTTTTAGTTCGTCATCCACATTTTTCCTTTACCCCACCGTATTCCTCCATTAAAGAATCACATTGCTTCCTGTTGTCTGCATGCATTAATTAACGTTCTTATGGTACCAGTCAGCTCCATCATAGACTGCTGATCAAACACAGGATAGGGATTTACTACCTCACACTAACCAGCCAGCTGTGATGATTTATTTGAAAAATCTGTTCTAGCATCCTGGTGCATCGCATCCACTGACCTGCCAAAACAGTAGGGATAACAGGTTAGGCCCCTTCACACTCCCCTTTCAAAATTGGAATGAAGTAAGTGTGAAACTATCTGGCATGAGGTTTTGGTGGCAAATTATGCGTGAAATTGTGAGTGGTGTGATGTTACATGATTCCTGTCAAAATAGGGAGTCAAGTTGTCTGTTTGGAAATCAAGCGGCCTTATTCAGTATAGATGAATTAACTCGGCGTACTTGATACACGTGGTGAATCAGTATTATCTTTTTGTTACCCGGTACCTCTGGAGTTGGTTTTTTTTTTTTTTTTATATTGTTCTGACAGCTTGAAAGAGAGATGCTGCCTGTGTACATTGAGACATTTTCTCCACCTGAATTGCCATTTAAACTTAATATTTTGCTGTGATTTAACATTTAAATCAAGTCACACTTTTAGTTCATATTGATGTTGAATAAATATTAAACATAAAGGCAGAGCTTAACAATGGGTAACAAATAGCATACCAAAAGTGGACTGATGCTAAGGTAATGTGGCCAATTACTCAAAAGTACTTGAGAAACGCAGTCTAATGGTCTGTGGCTGCTGACCTTTTTTTTTTTTAACAGGATCCCATATGGCAAAGCAACCTATCTAAAATACTTTGTTCCTGCTAATGTGTTTAAGCTGTGTGTACATTTGACCGAAAAGAGATTCACTGGTTAAAAGTCTTCTGAGCTGAATTTCTGTGTTGTTTGAAGCATTTTAACAGTATTATCAGAATATTCTTCTTGTATTATCGCTTGGATGGTTGAAAATAAGTGACTTCACAATTACGTAACAATGTTTGGGTAGCATGTACTGATATTTGCTAGTATATCAAATGCATTTGCCAATAGGTAAAGGTTATTTGTGACTAATTCTAACTATTAGAAGTAATACAAGAAGGACGCATGTGTTAGTAGGTCATGAAAAAAGGCTGAAACAAATTAAGCAAACTGAAGAAGCTTAAGCGTAGCTGTATAAATGCCATACAGCAAATGTCTTTGTGACCTAAATTGCCACCGCACAAACCCGCTGCAGAGGGCATCCTTTTGCTTGTTCTTAAAAAGCGCTAAACAAATTGTGCAAGCACATGGCTAAGAGTATCTGTGTTCGAGAGACAGAGGGTGGGTCCCAGTTGGAGTAAATACCCATTCAGACATTGCTTAGCAAACGGTGACATTTCAGTATTGATCCCTGGCCACAACAGAGGTCTGGGGTCAAGTTGCAGAATTATTCAACCTAGATCTGTAAAAGACATGACTGAATTGGGGTTTTTAAGCAGAATTTCTTAATCTACCATATATTCTCAAGGGCTTTGTCCAGTCTGGTCAAGAGGAAGTGGAGTTAAAGGGAATACCTTGTGGATTCCCCTTCTTAATCTAAGGCTTCACAGATGGTTGTAGGAGTAGAATAAAAACTGCGATTTACACATTTCCAACCCATTTTTCATCATTGAATCAGGCAGCAGCAGTGGGTACTTCCAGTGGCCAATACAACGGGTAGCTGTAAAGACGTTGTATCCGGTCTGTGCTTTGTATGTTTTGTGACATTTATTCTGGGGTAGAGGTACCTCAGACAGCAGTTAGAAGAGGTTTAGAAGGGGTTTCCCCTTTAGAAGAGGTTTGCTCGCTCCCCGTTACCATTGAAACAGATCACAGTATTAATTATTTGACGCGCCACCTTTACGTATTCAAGTTAAAAGCCTTAAATAGGCTCCTCGAGTTTTCTGAAATTCAAACAGCAGTCGAAATGCAGGCAGTAGACGAGGAAATCAAAAGGGGTTAATTAATGTAATCAAATCCATTGTAACCGAGAAACGCATCTGTAATTGTATTTGACATCTGAGTCAACAGATGAAAGGTACAGCACATCCGCGAAGCACGCAGCGCCGCGAAGCAGCAATTTCGGTGCCAGCATCCGGAACCAGGCAAAGACGGAGACACTTTCGGAGATGTATTTCTTTTCTCTCGCTTTTATGATTAGGTTGTAACTGAGGCTGGATCCTAACTGTACTTGTTCTGGTTTGGCTCGATTCTGCTGTAGGTTTTCCCGTGGCGGTTCTCTTCGTTTTCAAACCCGCGCCAAATAAACTTCGCTTGATTTGATACCTGGAGTCGGCGTCCGAGCCTTGTTTGGGCGGCTTTCGGAAAACCCGGGGTTTAGGGCCCGTCCTCTTGCTCGACAGCCGGGGGCGGTGGGACCGCGAGCGGTTCCCAAACTCCGGCGCGTTGCGCACCTCCCACTTCAAACGACACAACCCTTCAGTCCCACCAGCAAATTTTCCAGTTCAACCTTCAGTCCCACCAGCAAATTTTTGTCAGGGGAAGTCGTTATAATTGGTCTGTTAACGCGTACCACCGGCACGGTGTCTGTGTGCCACCGGTGGTACGCGTACCAGGGCTCGGGCACCTCCTGGCTCTGGGCAGCCGTCCTTCAACGCCGCGGCCTTTCGTTGGCAGCTGTCACGCCCTCGAAGGGGGTCCTGTAAGGGTTTTGCAGCGCGGTAAAGGGCCGGCCCCAAGGGGATCTGCACGGAGCAAGCGCTGCCTGAGCAGGGCTGCCCTTAGGGCTGTTGAGGGCAAGAGAGTCATCCAGGGTCCTTTTGATGCTTAATTTTGGACATGGGTGGTGGTCACCTGGCTCCAAGCATCCCTCTGCCTGGGGGGGGCTGGTGCGGAGCAGGAACGACGCTGCCGTCTCGTGTAGACGCCTAGTCCGGGGGGGCGGGGCGGCCTAGGCCCCGCCCCCGGGGCGGCCCCGCCCCCCGCCCGCCCTGAGGTGGTGGCG